CTAGTGTCTACAATAAATACATTTGTTACCAACTTTAACAAAATCGTTGAACCAAAGACTACTTTTTAAGACGTCTTTGTGGGACATAGATTTATGACAAGAGGTAAATTTATACCAGGAGTTCAATACATCGGCCCATATTTGATTATGTTCATATAAACGGTTATTAGCAGTGAACCAATGAAAAGAACCCCCTTTGAGAACCATTGCACTATAGGTACCAAGTATAACATGGGCCAAAAGTGACTAGGCAAAGCCTTCTGAAACTAAAAGCCTACGGAGCCAGGTAATTTTTAGAGCATCGATATCAGCTCTAATATCTATCGACTTCAAGCCACCCACGCTGTAGTCTTGAACCATCTGGAGCATCGAGAGCATCGATATCAGCTCTAGTATCTATCGTCTTCAAGCCACCTACGCTGTAGTCTTGAACCGTGTAGTTTCTAGTAACACGATCTTTTCCCTTCCACAAGAAATTGAAAAACGTGTTGTTCAGATCATCCACAATATACTTCGGAGGGTCAGGAATGGTCAATACGCAGTACGTACGTTTTGACCTAAGAAGAGATTTAAATAGTAGATTGAAAAGAGAGCAGAAAGCCACCCCAATTTAAAGGAGATGTTACTTAAGATTCGATTGGAAAAGCCTCAGACTGGATGAGTTCCCTATCATGATAGGTAAACTATTCCAAAGACGTGGCAAAGAATATCATAGGTTATGTTTAGATGCAGTAATCCTACACTTGGGTATATGCAAAGGAGAGGATAGCCTTTAAATATGGGACAAGTATTTGCCCTAAGGTGATTTTTTGAAATGATACGGAGAGCCTTCTTCTGCAATGTTATCAATTTACTCAAGTTTCTAGGATACAGATTTCCCTACATAATATTACAATATGAAATGTAAGGTAATACTAGTGAGCAGTAAAGAGTACGCAAAATAGTACATTCGAAAAGAGGTTTGAGTCTACTAATTATTTAAATCGACTTTAAAGTTTGGTACAGATTCAATTTATATTGGGCTTCCATGTTAGCTTACTATCAATGCTAAACTCAATTTTGATAGTGGTATTAACAACATTGTATGAATTTATTATCAATAACAACATTATAATAATGAATGCACGTCTTATTCTCATTGCAGAATCATAAATTACACATCTTGTGATTTATCGATAGTCTTTTGGCCCTAAACCAGTCAGAAACCTTTGCCAAGTGCATACTTGCTTCTTCAAACAGAACATGTAAATCTTTGTCGGTACATAACACATTTGTATCATCAGCATAGACTACAAAAAGTCAGAAGATTTGCTAATACCATTTACATATATAATAAATATAAGTAGGCCTAACAATGAACCGTATGGTACACCGTAAGATATTTAGGAGAGACAAGAAAATTTAATGGAATCAACATAATTAGTTATGTAATTGGCAAACCAGTCATGAACCACACCTCTAAACCAATAGTACTCCGGCTAATCTAATAGAATACTATGATTAATTGTGTCAAAAGCTTTAGACAAATCTAGAAAAAATACTCATGATATACTGATTGCCCTCATAACCATGAATGATTTTATTAATTAAATAAAGTAATGGCATTCAAGTAGAATGATCACTACGAAACCTATATTGACCACTATAGAGCAGCCGAGACTTATCCATTTTTTTCAAACAGTTTAGAGAAACAGGACAGAATACAAATAGGTCTGTATTTCCCATTCTCTGCAGGATCTCCGTCTTTCAAAATAGGTGTAACTCTGGCAGACTTTAACTTGTCTAGAAAAGTGACAGTAGTTAAGGATACGTTAATAATATAACATAGGAGGGTCACTAATTAGTCTTATAACAGATTTGACAACCCTTGGACTTACACCATGTACACCAGCAGATATCAGAGGTGGAAGTCAGATCAGAAGTATGGACTTGGGATTTTGGCGCTTAAGAAAATACTTATCATTGATCTGAGCAGGAGGGATCTTTTGATCGAAGGATGGTCGAATTCGAGCAAAATAATTGTTGGCAATTTCTTCAAAGCTGTAAATAGTCTTACCATTGTGGGAAACTTTTACAGGGCTATTCAATCTGGAACAATTTTTAAGAACTGAGTTAATAATGTTCCAAATTTCTTTTAGTATTGGATTTCGCCTTGGTAAAACTGAAGCTGTATTAATTATTACATTAAGTTTGTTACGAAATCGATTATATTGGCGTCATTGGGTAAAGTAAAAAATTTCTTAATACAGTTTGTTTTTATGCTTGATTGAATTACGAATACCATCAGTCATCTTTGGCTTCAGATTATTGGATTCACTGGCCCTACAGACAGTAAAACACTTATTATACATGTCAAAAAACTGACCAAGAAAACATCAAAAGCATCATTAACACTGGCTTTATGAAACACTGTATTCCAGTCCATAGCTTGCAAGCTAAGATGGAAACTATTAATAGTACGGGAATTAATATTTCTTAATGAATGAGAAATACTTTAGCTTTTACGTGGCATTCTATCCGGTAATGCATTTGCAAAATTGGTAAATGATCGGTCTTATCGGCCAGTCTTAATGACTCGAAATCAGTTTTTTCCATCGTTCATCAGCATTGGGATTTCTAAATTTGTATGCTTACACCCGCGATGTCAAACGGAGGCACTATGGATCGAGAATCAATTTCAAGAAGGGTGAGCTTTAATTAGAGGTTAGGGTGAGAAGCTGTAACATTTCGAAGCAAAGGAAATGAAATTGAATTCAAGTAAGTTACCTTTCATACCCCCCAAGTTACCCTTGGGGGGGGGCTCAAAACAAGTAGATCCACAAGAATGCCCCTACGGAAATGATTGCTAAAGCAGCCATCAGACTCGGCCCCCTGGATCCTATGACCTGGAGTGTGGAAGTAAGCCCTCCGGCCACTACACCACCGCCGCTTAAAATCGCTTCGACGGACATGATGACTGCTGCCCAGGACCCACTCAGTATTCCGCCAGGTGAAAATCCTACCAGTCGGATAACCACCAGAAATACGACCAGGAAAATGCATCCCGCAAGAATGGCGCCCAACATGTTTGATGGAGGATCCCTGTCGGACCGGTAACTGAAAAACAAACATCGAGGAATCAAGTTTGTGTCAAGTTTACAGTCTCTCAGAAAACGGTCATGTATTAGCTTTTTAATGTAACGAAGATGGCCATTTTAAATCGTGCTTCTCGACATCAAAGGAATGATGGACATTCTTAAGTGGGATGGAGCCTGCCCTTTTAGTACTTGTTTTGTGCACATTGTTTTGTTGTAAAATAAGGCTAATAATTGGCTCTCCCCACGATCTTGGATCATCTGGTTACGCATCACTAAATGTGAGCTAACAAAATAGACTCAGTCAAAACCCAACCCGACCAGAGTGATACCCAGGCCACGGTTTTAACTCGAACATGATTTTACAAGCTGTTCCTGCCAGATTTTGGCATATATAAAAGCCATACACTAATGCATTACCAAAGACCCGAGTCCAAGCTGTCAAAAAGTCAGTGATCTCAATGCCATGATCACATTTCCGCCTTGTTTTTGGACTAAATTGGGACACCCACATACACACCCACACCTATTTTACATACAAAGTGTGGACATTCCTTTGTTTTCCTCTCCTTGAGGAAAATGCTCCTTTTTCTCCAACTGGGATAACTCCTTCGAGCTGGATTTTTGAGGATGATTTCCTTGACTGCTCCTCTTCATTTTGCCTCTGAAACTGTTTTTCAGAGAGGGGAAAACATTGTGTGGACGTGTGCGAGTCCACACTACACCATCGCACCCTACATTATGTGGACTTCTTTTGTGCAAGGTCCACACTATGTATGCCACGCTTAAACACACGAACTCACGCAATCAACCATGCGTCCCTTTCAAAGCCTTGAAAGTTAAAACTGCGTGCATGCATGGAGCGTCAAAAGTGGACAACCTCATTTTCTCATATTCTGCTAGATGATTTTCGGAATTAGTGACTTTGCCTAGAAGCATTTTCAAAAAACGCAATTTTCCGCTCGGAGAAATTTGGATTGTAACAACTCTCGTGGCTCGTCAAAAGTGGACAATTAAAAACTTCAAATTCCCACTGGCAAACTTACTGTCAGGCTTCAAAAATGCACAACCCTATTTTCTAACACAGGGGGCTTGGATCGCACAAAAGCAGCGATGCTGTAGTACATGTAACACGTAAGCCTTAGGGTGTTGGGGAATCCCCGAAATGAGCAATGCACAATGTCAAGCACAGGCCTTCCTTGTGAACAGGGATATACATGTACCTATACAATCTACATTTCATGTATGCTGTGCTTTCATAAGCTCTTCAGTCGAACAGACTCTTCTGGCCGTTATGATGGTACATCAAATTGACTTTGCGATTCATTGCAAGAGCGTGGCACCCAGTGGCATCGGCGCAATGTTGAGAAGTGATGGTGATCATTCTGGAAAATTCCCAAACATCATTTGTTCACCACCTTCTCTCTTTTTTACTTCACAGAAGCACAGTTTTGGCCTACTCGTGGTGAGAAAACTATGACCGGCCGTCAGTAAATAAGCAACGGAATAATCCACAAAAACGGGTAATAAATCTCCCTCATCTAAAAAATACAAATTACTATTTGCTAGATAAAAAACACTCCTGTGTGATAGGGTATGTGTGAATTTGGGGGCAAAACGTGCCACCAGCCAAGGCTGAACTCAGTTCTGTTACCTTCGTGCTGCTGAACAATCTATAAAGATAATGTATGTTGCAGTTGGAATTTCAGGCTATTCATGGTGAAGGACAGGAACAGATGAAAAGGCTTGCGGTTGCACCATGCAAAGGAATATATCTCTCCTATGAGTATGTGTGGTTCTGAAAAAAAAACCGACAGTATACTGTACGTTTCGGACTGCGTGCTCAGTCTGTCGTCGGGAGACTGAAAAGATGCTGCAGATGGAGCTGTATATATAAGGTGGCTGGATGCAGCGGGATGTGACGAGGATGCTAGTGGTGTGCGCTCATGTGGGACGGAGTCCTGCAGGTCAGTGAGGCGTGTCCATTGGGCATAGGTAGGGGCGGGGTGAGGGCCGAGGGTACAGGAGACCCACAGGCGG